AGATATTTCTTCTGCAAATCATGACCCAACCTTCTCAAAACTTCCAGATTTTTTCCAGAGGGAAAAATTCCTGGTGTACTAAAAGGGGCCTGCCCTCCAACGGAGAATTCTAGTTCTGCCCTTCATTAAGAGCTGCATGTGGAAGTCCTACCCAGAGCATAAGACAAGAAAAAGAGATACAAATTATCCAAATTGAAAAAGAAGAAATCAAACCTTCTCTGTTTGCCAACAATATGATCTTATACCTAGAGAACCCTAAAGATTCCTCCAAAAGACTCCTGGACTTGATCAATGAATTTGGTATAATTTCAAGATACAAAATCAATACACACAAATCAGTAGCACTGCTATGCACCAATAGCAACAAAGCTGAGAATTAAATCAAGAACTCAGTTCCATTTACAGTAGCAGCCCCAAAGCTAAAGTACCTAGGCATATATTTAACCATGGAGGTGAAAGATCTCTATAAGGAAAAGTACAAGACTCTGATGAAAGAAATTGCAGAGGACACAGAAAAATGGAGAAACATCCCATGCTCACGGATTGGAGACGTCAACATTATTAAAATGGCCATATTACTCAAAGTAATCTACAAGAGTCAATGTAATACCTATCAAAATACCAACTTCATTTTTCATAGAATTAGAAAGAACAATCCTAAAATTCATATGGAACCAAATAACAGCGGGAATAGTCAAAGCAATTGTAAGCAAAAAAAAAGAATAAAAGTGGAGGCATCATATTACCTGACTTCAAATTATACTACAAGGTTATAGTAACCAAAATAGCATGGTACTGGTACAAGAGCAGACAGATGGGCTAATGGAGAAGAATAGAAAATTCAGAAATAAACCCAAGTATCTACAACCAACTGATCTTTGACAAAGCAGACAAAACATACACTGGGAAAAGGACACCCTATTTAACTAATGGTGCTAGAAAAATTGGATAGCTGCATGCAGAAAAATGAAACTTTATCCTTATCTCTCTCCATATACAAAAATTAACTCAAGATGATTAAAGACTTAAATGTCAGACCTGAAACCACAAAAATCCCAGAAAGAAAACCTAGGAAAAGTTTATGGACATCAATCTAGGCAAAAAATTTATGGCTAAAACCCCCAAAACAAATGCAGTTAAAGCAAGAATAAATAAATGGGACTTAATTAAACTAAAAGACTTCTGCACAGCAAAAGAAATAACAGAGCCAACAGGCAACCTACAGAATGGGAGAAGATATTTGCAAACCATACATCTGATAAAGGACTAATATCCAGAATCTACAAAGAATTCAAACAAATCAGCAAGAAAAAAAGCAAATAACCCCATTAAAAAATAGACAAATCACATGAATAGATATCTCTCAAAATAAGATACACAAATGGCCAACAAACATGAAAACATACTCAACATCACTCATTATCAGGGGAATTCAAATTAAAACCACAATGAGATACCACATTATACCAGTCAGAATAGCCATTAAAAAAAAAATAGATGTTGGCATGCATGTGGAGAAAAGGGAACACTTATACACTGTTGGTGGGTGTGTAAATTAGTACAACCTCTATGGAAAATGGTATGGAGATTTCTCAAAGAACTAAAAGTAGATCTACCATTTGATCCAGCAATCCCACTACTAAATATCTACCCTAAGGAAAAGAGGCCATTATATAAAAAAGACAACTGCACCTGCATGTTCACTGCAGCACAATTTTCAATTGCAAAGATGTGGAATCAACCTAAATGCCCCTCAATCAATTAGTGGATAATGAAAATGAAAAACAATGAATTCATGTTCTTTGCAGCAACATGGGCAGAGCTGGAGTCATCATCCTAAATGAACTGAAACAGAAACAGAAAACCAAGCACCACATGTTCTCACTCATAGGTGGGAGTTAAAGGGTCGCAAAGGTGGAAACAATAGACACTGGGGACACCGGTAAGTGGGGAGAAGGAAGGGGAAGTTAGGGTTCCAAAATTATCTATGGGCACAATGTCCACTATCTGGGGAATGGGTCACCTAAGACCCAATCCCCACCACTACACATTATGGCCATGTAACAAATACACATGAGTACCCACTGAATCTAAAAAAAAAAAAAAATTTAAAAACCACTAAAAGTTACATGTGTAGGAAAGAATAAGGACAACCAAAAGACCAAGTGTATGGAGGTATACTTTATATATTGTAAAATTCACTCATTTTTGGTGTGCACTTTTAGTGAATAGAGTTATACAACCATCACCAACAGACCCATTTCGGAGCATTTTCATCACCCAAAAAGATTCCTTGAGCTCATCTGCAGTCATACCTGTTTTTACCTCCAGCCCCAGGAAACCACTAGTCTACTTTCTGTCCCTATAGATTTGCTTTTTCTGGGCATTTCATACAATAGATGGTATTTTGTGACTGGTCAGTTAGCATACTCTTTTTAAGACTTATTCATATTTTGGCATGTATCAGGACTTTGTTTCTTTTTAAAGGACACTTTTTGGAATGGCAGCATCATATAGAGGAAAGAACATGAATTTCAGAAGTACACAAGTGTGGAGCAGAACCAAAGCTGTGCTACTTCTTAGCTGTGTAACTTCAGGCAAGTTCCTCAATCTCTCTGAGACTCACTTGTAGAATAAGAATCATCATCCCTCCCTCAGAGGATTATTCTATGAAGTAACTGGATTGTGATGACAAATAGTGGGCACTCAAGAAATCTGGTCCTTCTCTCTAAAATCCCCCAAGAAACTTTGCTTTTCTCACCCTGCTTCAAACTTGAAAGTGAATCCTCCAGTCTCCCTGTAGCCTTTCCATGAAGCTTGAAATGAGAACCCACATAACAAGTAATATCAGAAATGGAATTCACCAAAGGGAATCACATCCTTCATTAATGGAGCCCAGATGGTGAGGAACTAAAGGGATTTCCTTCAATTATGTTGCTGTCATTTTTTATAATGAACGTTAAACTGCATTTAATTATTATTTTAAAGGAGAAATGTGTCAAATTCTATCCTAGAACATTTGACAGATTTGGCCTTTCCTTTGCAAAGCCCTAAAGTTATCTTATTTCCTCACTAATTCTTATAAAACTGCTCCCATTAACATCAACCCTTAGATGACATGTAGGTAAGTAGCAAAGAGCGAAAAACCCCATATCAATACAACCTACTTCAAGTCGGGTGCTATGGTAGATGACTGTAGTCCTGTCTACTCTGAAGTTTGAGGCAGAAGCATAGCTTGAGCTCAAGAGTTTGAGACCAGCCTGGGCAACACAGTGAGACCCTCTCTCAAAGAATAAGAAAAAAAAAATCTACCACAAATCCTCCAAACTCAATTTTTAGTCAATGGTTTCAGACTTTCTTTCCTGAACCGTTACAAGAACCTGAATTTCACGTGTATAGCAAAATAGACTGAATTGAACTCCTTGTTCATTTCTCCAGCTTACCTTCTCTGATTAGAACATATTCTCATTTTGAGTTCCAACTTAAAGAAATCCTAAATGTAATCTCATCCTACACAAAGTTTACAAAGATGCTACCCCTTAGCTGTGGGAGTAAAATTTCCAGCCTCAAACCTACTTTTTCCTCCGAATCATTGCTTCTCTATACTTTTAAATTTACCACTATTCTCCTTCATGTTTGTTTTTCCTCCTCTTGCCTGGGATTTATCACAGCTCCATTTCCTCCCCAAACTCCTGAATCACTTAATTTCCTTCCACTTCTCAGATTCACTTCTTAAGTATAGTGTAACAGTTAAAATAGCAAAGGATAAGGCTTCTCAATATTTTTACTAAATAAAATAGGATTGTAACATACTTTGTTTATTCATATCTTCAAAGAGATTAGTACAGTGTATCATTTTTATGATATAAAATGCTTGTTGTCAAATGTAAAGTCATTATTAAGAGAGGCAACAAGTGGTTTTCCAATCTTTATATACTAATAATAGTCACTATCCATATTATTAAAACTAAAGATGGCAAAAAGTGATTCTTTCAAAAGAGTAAATTGGATATAATTTCTTTTCTTTATTTTTAAACAGGATTTATTGAGAGGACCGAAAAGCTCCCATAGTGGGAGGGGACCCGAGGGTGTTGCCCCATTGTATATAATTTCTACAAGTGATCAATCTGCAACATTATCCAGGTGAGTTTGACTAATTTGAATTTCTATTGTGATAGTCATACTCACACAGAACAGATAAAGGTTATATCACAGGAATCTGTGTTTTTTTGCTCTAAGTACTTATTTGAAAATAGGAACTGTTAACGAAAACCATAGCTAACTTTTCCCACATTATTAAGAGATCAAGAAGAAGTAGGTTGGGTCTCAGGAGAGGTGTTTTCACTCACCTAATACAGGCTTGGGAAATCACAAATGTGATAAAAAAAAATAAGAATTCGGGAAACAAAAACTTCTTAGGTTTATTGAGATTTGTGAATTTCCCCAATCTGTAAAGAAAATTTTCTTATGTTAAAACTTGCCCTTTCATATCACTACAGTGGAGAGAGTAATTTATATCCAAGACTTTATTTTAAGGTTTTTATTTTAAGCGGTATCACAGGAATTTATCTCATGGTATAAATAGTTTAGTAAATCTGGGATTTAGCAAAGGTTTTTTCCTCTACAGCACAGGCCTTTTGTTCAGCAGCAGATGACAAAATAATCTTGAGGCATGATGATTTAACTTCAGTTTGATGTCCAAACATACTCCCCCAATCTTAAGCTCCAAATTCCAGTATGTCACCAGCATACTGAAAATTAATTTTGAAAAAAAAATCACTTACTGACCCAAATCATATATATATATGAATCACACAGCCTTCAAATTATGGTTTGACCTAAAGTTTGTGTATAGTACCCTCGAGAATCCCGAACTCAGTGTAATTGGTTAAAACCTCAAATTTTCAGAGATCATCTCTGAGGCCTTGGCCACCATAAAATTCTGTCAGCATCCATGCATCCCGCATATGAATTACCAAATAATTCCAAGAGTCTCCTACCCTGAGATGGCAGCCAGTTTTTGGTGTGCCTGACGGGCCATTTCACAACCTTTGGTTCTTGTCTTGTGCATTTCCGCCCGGAGTGAGGGGCAGCTGACCGAGACGTCCCCAATAGAAATGACCAACTCTCGGAACAGGGCCACTTGCGTGTTGAACTCTTGGACAAGCTGGAAAAGAAGCGAGTTTCTTTCACCAAACGTTTGTCATCAGAAAGTTTCCTCTTTCAGTGTACATAAGCCGGGGCCTTCACTGACTCCGAGCCCGCACCCCAGATCTCCCGCTAAGGAGCTACGAATTGTTTAAAGCTTAAGACAAAAAAGATCTCAAGTCTCTTTGTCCAAGGTAAATGTTTATTTTTCACCTGCAAGTCTGGCCGTAGAAGCTCTCATTTCCAGATTACTTGCCCCCACCCGTTCAGATTCGGTTTCTGCAGAGCAAGAGCATATGCGGAGAGCTATCATGCCACTCCCAGGTCAACAGAGAATGGTGTTGGAGCCTCCCGCATAGACGCTCCCCTCTGCTCCTGCTGCGCTGTGGATTTGAAGTTGCACAGCGGGGGTGGGGTGTGGGTGAGCGGGGGACCGAAGGTAGAGTGTGACAGGCAAACCATTCACCTCCTGCCGGGCCACAGCACCTGTCACGCTGCGACGCCTGATGGGAAGACCGGCCACAGCCTTTGCGCTGGAACCCTCGTCCCTTCTGCGGCGACCCGTGCGCTCTGTTTGGGTCTGTTTGCTATCGTCTGCCCGCAAAGGTGCACCCCACCTCCCCTTTTCCTCCCTCCCTAGTGAGCGAGCCAGTTACTGTATTTTTCGCATCCACCATTCTTCGAGGGGGCTAGAGGCACAACCTACAGCCGCGGACCCCCCAGATCCTGGCTGTGGCACTTGTCTCCGCCGGGCCGTGACGACCCAAGTGTCACCCCGAATCCGGGGGACTGCAGATTTAAAAATAGTGCATGTGCACGTGATCGGCATTGAGGAGATGAGGGTGGAGGAGTGGCTGGCACTCCTGCAAACGATGAACATACCCGACTCCCCCCACCCCCTCTCCAAAAAGAAAAAAAGAAAAGAAAAAAGAGGCGCAGTTTTCACCCACCATCTTGCAGTCGTCCAGGGCTCGCTGGGTTTTGTGGGCGCTCTCGGAGCCGCTGCCCCTGCGCTCCCAATCCCCGCTCTGCAGCTGGGGCTTGCTGATCTGGAAGATCGAGGAGCGGGTGGACCGGCTGGGGCGCTTTTTGCGCCCATTCGGTGCAGAACTCATGCATACACATCCACCAAGCCCAAGCCGCTGGTGCAGTGCGCCCC